CCTCCCCCCGCTTTTTATAGTTGCCTGCTAACGTTGTCTGCCCCCCCGACACGTTGTTTGTGCATCGTATTACTGTGATCGGTTGTGATTGTTCCTTGCAGTGTTGTGCTGGCTTCCTTCGTAGGCTCTATTGTACGCATCGCCATTGAAGTCCTAGGAGCTTTGACTGTTGAGAGTATTTGGAGATGGAACTGCTGGCTGCTGCCCATGCCGATCTCATCTTTTTGATTGCATTCATGGCGTACTTGGCCTTCTTATCATTTTTGGATTTACAAGTCATTCGTTCGGCTCAGCTTGGCGGTGGTTGTCGTAACTCGTCTTCCCCATTTTCCATGAGGTGGTGTAGGGCCTAGCGGTCGCATCAGTGCTTAGCGATAGTGCTTCGGGTGTTGATCATCTCCCGTTCGAATGCACATTACGGCAGTCCCCGGGATCCCCCCGTATCTATTCACCACTCCTTTCTGGATTTCCCTCTTCTTCTCCATCGTCCTTTCTCTCCTCTCTCTCGGTGCACTATGTCGTGCTACGTGGTTGGCTTGGTCCCTCCCTTTGTTTGTCTATCCGGCGGGTCCTCCCCTTCCATGCATACCGAGCCTATTTGGGTTAGCATTTTGGTTGGCTCTTCAAGGTGTTGTGGTTCTTGTGTTAATTTTGGTGGTGCTACTATGGCATACATCATCCTCTGCAATCTGTATAATCCCGCACGGTTGCCATCGTTCCCCGTGGATTCCTCCCTAAGGCCGTTTAGATTTGTGGATCGCTGCAATTCGAGTTGGCAGGAGGCTTTGCCGCCCTTACTAATGTTAATGTTCTCATCATTTGGGGCGTATTGCGCCTAGGTGAGGATGTGAGTACTTTGGAAAGGTCGGGATTGGGGTTCGCCTTGTTGTGCTTGCTTTGCGCACGTAAAGGAGCTTGAATTCTTGTGGATCTGCCTTTGTGAATATTGAACTTCGACGTGGGTGATGGATTGAGAATCGCTTGGGTGATATGGAGGGTCGGTGCTTCTCGGAGCGTCTATGTAATGTGGATGGTTCGTTTGAATGAGCGGGGAGTCGTGTTGGTTACGTCGTCCGTGTGTTTCGAGGCTGTCTCGTTGAATGATCGAGTTGAAGTTATGCATTGGGCATGGAGCGTGAGGACTCTGTTGCTGTTGTGCATAATCCAGGATTTCGGCAGGTTAGTGCAGAATATTGAGTGTGCTCTAGCGGGATTTGACGATCAGCGTGGTAAAGGGATGGGCTTGGTACTACGTCTCTTCGCGGAGTGATGATTGGTCGTGGGAGCATCTTCGGAGGTTTGTGACTGGGAGGGCATACTGCTTTGATGTTGGGTTGGATGGGAATCTCGTATGGAACCTGCTGATGTACAACGCTATAAAATTGTTTTATGAAGAACTCTTTTCTTGGTATGAAACATGTTGTGACGACCTCGTTTCTTTCGGAGAAATCTCCCCGTGCTTGGTCTGATCTTCATGATGAAATTCGTGATTTGATGGCGCTTGGCGGTAGGATGGAGAGTCCACGTGTCTCCGGAAGGTGGTGTTCAGTTTGGCTTTTCTAATCGGGGATGACACCTGATGATCCTTTCAGTATAGTGGTTGGGTATCTGCTCCATATGCTATGGAGGGATTAAGGAGCCTGGTGGTGTGTACTGCGGTGTTAGATATCGGATCCCGTATACATCATGGATGTGGTGTTGTTTTGTCCTTAGTCGGTTGCAGGTCATCTCTAAGTATGGCGGAGCTAAAGGGGTTAGCGTGCTAAACTTAGTTTTGACTCTAGGACCCTCATATGGGTAGAAGGTGACGAGGCCTGCTGTACCCACTCATTTTTTGGATCGGTGCCAGTAAGCGATGAGTTACGGTGACGGTGAGCGTTGGTGTTTGATTTGAACTTGCCACGTCGGATTTT